ATTATTATTATTATCCTTTGTTCCAATTAGCTGTTACGGATAATTTGGTCGTGGACGACCAGATATATTGAAGTCAAAAAGAATCCAAACGTGATGTAATTTAAATTTTAGAAGCATTTTGTCAGATAATATTAGATGTTTCTAAAACAGAAAGTAAACTTTATGTAAACATTATGAAAATTTCAGTTGTAGACGAGGAATCCGATTATGAAGAGCTACTTATGTCTTTTAGTTCAATGTAAACGGAGGTCAGAGTTGTGCCTTAAATATTATCATATTTCGGATTTAATTTCTATTTCAGAGTTATAAGCAGACCGGATATTAGTGTTGGTCAGCATAAACAACGGCGCTGGAGGAGTTGATGACACTTGTGTACAGCGGCTTTCAATAATCGTGTGCTGAATATGTGTAATGATACGAATAAACGAGTCGAAAGTTCACACAAGCAAATGAAGCGTTGCCTGCAAAGATCAGGCAGTCTGCAGAAAAGCATGTTGAAGGTTTATAAATTGTGTAAGCAAAGTTCTTTGAGAATACACCGGGTGGCGTTGATAGCTCAGTCACTATGATTTACGCATCCCTTTTCACAACTTCTACTACTGAAATTAGGACGAATAACGCCATACGCCTTGCGGAAAGTGATTCTTGAATATAAAAGACGATAGTGGGCTTCCGTAGGGGTTGAAGCTTCGGACTGTGTCTTCGAAAACAATGGGGGGATAATACAGGTGGATCTGCGTGAATGCACATGCACATGTAGAACATTCCAAACTTGTGGGTACCATTGTCGACATTTGCTATTTGTGCATTTCAGGGAGGCGCGTTTTACAGGTATATTTACTTTTTTTCAAATACCTTAACTATTTGAAGTATTATATTTTTATATTGTATTTAATTATATTTAAGAATTACTGTGTTGTTAGCCACATTATTCGCTGTTTTATGACGTTCAATTTGTAATCTATATTGACAGAGCCCCAAGCAACTGAGAATCTTTTGTACTGAACTTAGTAATTCTCAGAAACTTTCGCATGTATACATGACATTCACTAGAAACATGATATTAGGAGTGGTATTATCAATTTTGTAATATTATGTTCATAATTATCTTTGCGTTTCCTATTCTGCCATTTGTAGTTAATCACATTCTTCAGAAGTGTCAATGATGGACATGGTCACGCAACCCATACGCATCTCAAAGCACGTCAGCAGCTGTCCCAGAAAAACCCTGCGATGAATACTTCACCAATAGCAGGCTTTTGAATATCTGATTGACAGAAATTCGTGACAAATTTGAAGACAGGGTTGCTGCAGACTACGCAAGAGAGGTGGTTGCAGGAATGCAAATTTTTTAAAATATGTAAATAAACTAAATTTGCATGCGAATATAATAAACTTTTCCCATAAACATTACTGTGTTCGCAGCGGGAGTACGGCATGCTAGACCGGTACTCCCTAGGAGATGAACTTGTTGCTATAGGTAAGTGTAATTGTGTACAGACACCTTGGATCTGTATAATTAGTCAAGCCAAAACATCTGCCTAAAGTTAAGCGACTATGTCTCCCGACTACGTGTGAATCTGTAGCAAAGAATGACAAGAAACCTAAGCTATGTATCTGATATATAAAATTAGAACTGAGGCACTGTGGTGGAGTTCGATTTTGTATAAGATTAAGTTTACTCAAAAGTAGTGCATTACTGTTATTTCAATTAAACCGTCATGTCAATCCATATTATTAGGGATGTTAAGGTATATTGCAAAATAAAGTCTGCACGAGACGATTGATTGTGTTGACAGAACGGTAGTAATCTTAGAAATATTTCACTTGAATTCAATTATGCCATCAATTACTTTATGAGGTCTCACGGATAAATCAAGCCTCTATCTCGTAATGATGACAAATGTATTTTCATTCAGATAGGATAAGGACAGTATGGTATGCAGGATGTTAAATATATGTGATCAAAAATAATAACAAGCAAATGTCTTCGCACAATTGTTTGTCGTAGCTATCGCGGAGATGTTGAGCTGCTGTGACCAGGATAACTCACTTTACCCGACATCTGAAATAAGTGAATGTCTATTTTTATTTCCTTACAGATAGAGAAAAATTGCATAACAGTTAAACGCTTTATATTTGCCTACCTTTGCTGGCAAAGGTGTAATCTCCTTTTTCATGCTAAGGCCATGAAAGCATTCATCTGCAGTTTTCATTATGACATACATTGTTCATCTTGTAAAGCATAGCAGTTAACAAAAAATATTAATTTTAAAGGTCATCTAAAAGGGTGTTTACAAGGAACTATCAGGTATGTCATAAGTGACAATCGTTAAGTATCATAAATTAATACTTTTTCATAAGTTTTTGGGTAAGTACTACGCTCTCACAGAATTGAGAGCTATTTCATCAAGAGAAAAGCGTCCTGGAAAACTGCAAAGTGGCATAAAATGCAATTATGCACAAAACATCATTTAAAATACACCTACAAGGTATATACGCCGAGGGGCTATAGAGCCCTTGGAATGATAGCATACATTTGCAATGTTTAATGCTTATCATATTGGTCTAAGCATGAAGCTGTGATGTTTTCGATGAAAATATAGCTCTGTTCAAACGTTGGTGTTGTTGTGTTTTTAAACAAAGCAATCAGACTTATAGCAAGCAACAAATATGAACAAAGAGTAAGTTTTGTCTTTAATAAAAACCTAGGTAGTTATGATGAAAGTGGAGTTTAATAGTGCGTAAATGAAAAGATCATCGTGAGGTAGATAAGTAACATTACAGTGGAAACTGAATTCAAAGATCTGGAAGATTAGGATTCTTAAGACAAGCTGACCTGTAGGATATCTCATGAATTTTTGTAGGGCTCATGGGGTAGTATTGATGTGTTCGGCATCATTCTGAACTTTGGAAAGATGATTTACAAATCTAAGGGGTAATAATCATCGAAACTAAAGCAACATTTTCTAGCTGTTCAGAGCATTTCCCTTGACGCAGTTTCTTATCAACAAGTTGCAGTTTTCCTAGTGATTTTTCAGGACACTTGACTTGCCCTTTACTTTCATCAACTGCCCCTTCACGCACAATAGCATGGAGTAACTATGTATACTCAAGAATTGTAAACTGAACACGCGAAATTCTCACAGATAACTTGTTTAATAAACAAATTATTAAAAAATTAGTCATAAGTGCACCTTTCATGTATTTCATAGCCACAGCTCAAGATATCTTAATGATCTGAAAATGAAAAAATATTAGGACTAATACAAGTTACATAACAGCTGTAGTATATGTAGCACGGATCTGCTAGCTACTTTACGACAGAGAGCTGATACTAATTTTAGAAGGACTATCTATACTATTCTTCTTGCTCCAATGCACACTGATATCATCATAATCTGATGCTATTTTATGCACTGAGCAATTACGGTCTACTGGAATTCCATATGACGATGTGAATTGAACTAGTATCACATCTTCAGCTGAGCAATTTAAACCATGAACTTCATCTTAATGGACGTACTCACCAGGAAATTCAGCAGCTTGTCTCGTTAATCGCATGATTTCTTCGAAGTGTCATGGAAAATTTCACTCACCGCGGATGAAAATAAAAATGTTTAACATCCTCAAAACATACATCCAAATTATGTTTATGAACTTATACTCTTTCAATTACCTGATTATCATAGAATAACTGCTATGACAACAACTATTAAATGTAATCAATTTACAACCTGAAAATCCAAACTCGCAAATATCAAAGCTTTAAGGCTTTAGAAGGCAAATAATAGTCATATCTATGCAAACTTTCTTTAAAAGGATGCCTATTTTAGTAATAATTTCTCTGGAATACCAAGGCAATTTTACACATAGCAGGAAAATATTACTTTTTTCGGTTACAGAAGCCTAAAACTAATCAAATTTACTCCATTTTCACAAAAATAAACCCTTATAACGCCCATATAGGCATGAACGTGATAACCCATACAGTGCGCGAAAATACATCGCAATAGCCTTTATTCTCACGCCTGTTAACTACCTGTATATATATGTAAGAACCGCTTTGGTGTTCGTTCAATCCATTAAAATACAACATGTATAGGATAAATTTACATTAGAAACTCATGAGGGAATTTTATGCCGTTAGCTCTTTAGTTATTCGTTTGTTCAAATGAGACCACGGATAAGCTTACTACAATGAGTGATATAAGAACTGTAATTGGTGACTTGCATCACAGATGGTATTTCTTTTGGATACATTCGAAGAGAATTTATGGGATGCTGTGGAAGCTGCACCCGCGAAGGTGATATAATTGAAAATACGCCAATACTTTTCAAGCGTTCTACGTCTGCAGACGCGGATAAGACCACTGAAGTATGCAAAGAGTCCGCTTCAAGATATCTCAAAAGAAAAGCCTAAAATTCTATTTTCGCCATTTCCCGAATTATGGATTTTGATTATCCGCTATCACCTCTTCGATCTTTTGCTTTTCATGGTCCGTTTCCTCTCATTGTACAGTCATTTAAATTGTGATGTTTTTTTGGATTACAGCTTGATTAGACACCGTATTTTTGGTTCAGGTATGGAATTTGCGGCATGTGATATCGGTAGCCCAAATTTTCCAGGCCAACCATAGATATCAATTGTGCGTCGCCAGAGGATCGAACTCCGGACTATGTACATGATCGGCGAGAGTTCTAACCGCTGTGCCACCGACGTACTACCTGAAAATTGACTGTTGGAATGAGTGTCTCAGACTTCATAGGAGTCCATATCTGACAGAATGACAATAATTCTCACGGTGAACGAAGCACCACACCCTGCGTTTTGAAGTCGTATCATTTTAGATTGCATTGAGTTCTATTACAGACCTGTAACCATTTCTAAGCAACAGATGGGAGGCGGTAGGTCGCCAGTAAATTGACGGAAGCACTTAAGGTTATATCTGACTCCATATAATAATTCTTTGTCCATGTTTTTGTCCATCAAAGTTGTGGGTTACATCAACCCCGGGAAAATTAACTTGGCTTCCGAAACCCATTGAGTAGCACTGGTGTAAGACAATATCTACTCTACTAGTAGTCATTTTACCTGGTGTATTTTTTATTGTAGTCCACCCTTCTAACAGCTTGGGCGATATCCGTGAAGTTTCTCCCTGTGTAGCTGTAGCCCTCGGTCTATTATAAATCAAACTTATTGGTTATCAGATAATTTATAGGAAATGTTTAATGAAACAAGATATATTCTGGTGAATTAAGTTTTATAAATTTCCTTGTACTTTACACTCGCTTTTGAGTTTTCCTCCTATTAGAACTCGTAATGATCACCATATATACGAATATAAGTAGAAACACCTCTGCTGACGTAAATAAGTGACAGGCTTTCGGAGGTATTTATTTTCCTCTGTATGTATGTATGCATGCTGCAACTGTGACTTTTCCCCAAACATTTTGTAGGGTTAAGAGTCCAGTAAACTTAATTTTCCGAACAGATCTAGATAAAGTTATATATGGACTCGTTCACTCATAATACAGAATGATGAGAAAGTGTTGAAAGCTGGAGACGTTTTAGCGATCATAGTGATCTTGTCTAATTATACTGTAAGTAATGATGTCAAATAGACTACATCTTGAAGTTTAAGCTTACTTCATTATTCTGTGAGGTAGTTAATCTAAAACAACTAAGTCTTTAAAGTTGGTAGCGTTTATCATGGTAAGGTAAGTAACCTGTAGTATCACATAGGTTGGTAGTCTAGTTTACATTTTACATTGCTCATTAAAGCGTATATATATGTATATATACCAGGAACGTATTATGTCCAGAAGAAAGTCTACTGGTCAGATATTCACCTTTCAACAAGCTCCTAGATATAGACACCAGCATCCTATAATTCCCGCATCTCTTCACCTTAAGATCGCATTTAACCACTGCGGTCGAGAGTAGTTGTGGCAAAGCTTAAATGTAGTAGGAATGTCTAGAAAATATTAATGGGAGCAATGTCCTCAAACTCCTACTGCTATTTAAGAGGCTATGAGTGATTTACATTTGGTGTTGACAACCAGTGGCGCACAGTCATGGTCTGCACATAGTTCTTTTATGGACACTACTAGATTTGACTCTCCATTATGGATAAGATTTTATTTTGATAAATCATAGTGTTATACAGTAGATTTGACTCTGGCAACTCAAGAATCAACTCGCTACTGACAAAGAACTCTCATTAAATTATACACACAATATAGGGCTTTAAGTGTGAACGATAAAGAATCTGTTTCCTGCCCAGTTGAAGTAAGATTCTGAGTGTGTTTCGCACTCATTTTCCACGCCTAACAGGTGTGAGAGGTGGTCTTAACTAACTCTTACCGGTGAATTGTATCAAGTTTGGTCTACTAGCGGGTAACGAAGTTTTATCGTAAAGGAAGCAATGGTTTTTCTCGGTAGTCGCCAAATTTTGTCATCCTTGATATTGGTGTCGCCCGTTTATCAGTACTTTATAACTGTGTTATATCAAATAAAGTTAGGTGACGTATTACTTTATGGGCATCTTGTTTGTATTCTACAGTTTCAAGTCCATTCAGCTTTTTTGTGTTTATGAACGAATCTATCACAACAGACCTACGCTGTAGTAAATGTCTTCAGCTCTCAGCTGCTTCGCTTTCGTTGATTATTTATTTCTTCAAAGTCAGCAACAGCTTTATTGTTATCACTATCACCACTACTATTTATTCTTCGCATTCTGAGTGTTATGTAAGGTTTCACTAGCACATCTCCATTTCACTGCGTTTTGACCGTCACATTCATTTGGCACCACGACTGCCCATAAGCCTCATTCCCTTATCACATGATCTTAGTGCTACTCTCGGACACTCAAATTGTCGCTTTTCACTCAGGTTCCACCCAAGGGCTTGGCGTGTCATTCACCAGTGTTCACACAGTATGCGCAGTCTATCTTTATTTCCTTCAACATAATTGGGGGGTAATAGGTTGTCGATTAATTCAACGCTTGTTACTGGTTGCTTATCATTCCCCTTCAGCCACCTGTTCTTCACTGTAGACCCTGCAAAGGTATCTATTAATGAGTCTGTGGGTTTTGGTGGCGCGAGCGTCAAACATCTGATTTGAATTAAAACACTGACTTGACGTTCATGTATACGATTGGGATATTGTCTTATGTTCTGAGTGCAGTATATTTCCCCACTGAATTCAGAGCAATAAGCACGTCTTGCTTTTCCAATCCGGTGCTGGTAGGCTTTGAAGTCCTCATTAATGTCACCTGCAGCTGAGATGGTGCTACTTATGTAAGTGAAAGAGATGACTTGCTTTAAATTTCACTCTTTTACAATATTTGGTGTTTGTTGTAGTTGATCAAGCATCTTCACTGCCTCTACGTTAAGCTGAATTCCTGCCTTTGCTACCCTTCCTGCCAGCTTGCTGAAAGGCGTTTCTATACCTCCGAGTTTGTGTGATTTGGAACAAGTCACCTGCAAAATTTAGATCCACTAAAGTCTTTTCGTCTAACTTATCTGTTTCTCCTCACTCTCCATGGCATAAAAAGTTCATAATAAAATCGTAGTAAATTAGCCTGTGCGTTTCATTGTCTCATTTATTACCATTTGGGCTCATCCTGTGTCCTTATTGGATTGTTCACACCTAGCAATTGTGGTTTTTTATATACTACTCTTTCTTTTGCACACTTTTTCATGACTTAGCAAATGGATGAAGAACTCAATGATTCCGATATATCGCTGGACGATTCAATACATTCTGGCGAAAATGACGAGCTTGTAAACTTGTTAGATGTCCCGTATACTAGTACCGAGCCACGTGAAGAGGACTCATTAGAATATGAGGTAAATCCAAAGAATTTTTTCGCATTTTCCTAGTGACTACCGGTGTATGTGTGCATATATTCGCAGTTTTTCGCCATCTTTAGAAAAGTAAAAATAATATAGGATTTCAGTATCGGTTTGTAAAACCAAAAGCACACATTAAAGCATGTAACCTGCTTTTTGATAAAACTGTAATACGCAGGTGACTAAAAAGCTACTTAATATTAAATAAACATAAATTAACGCGGTGAGAGTGACTTCATGATATCAATCCACAGACTTATTTTTAATTCCTTCACGTCCCCGGTAGAACATAGGGCTCCAAGCTAGAGGCTTCAAGTTTCGGTAGCAGTGGTGTTTTGCTTTTACGGGATGAGGTTGGTACCCTCCTGCCCAACCTTCTGAGGTCTAGTTTCGCATATACCAGTTTACGCCGTCTCCGGCGTTAGCTGGTTAGCTGTCTTTGATCATAGGTGCCTGCGCTCTATCTCCCGTGTGAAGTGGTATAATAAAATGAGAAGTATTGAGATTAGGCGTCTAGTTCTAGGTAAGCAGGGGAAATCAATCGACGAGGCCGTGAAGTTACATCGACTGAGATGGTTAGGACATGTGCTACGTATGCCTAGTCATCGCCTTCCTCGATGAGCAATGTTAACTGATATAGAGTCAGGCTGGAAAAGAGCTAGCGAAGGTCAAACAAAAACATGGCACCAGTCAATGAAATCCACAACGGTTAGTGTAAGCCACGTAGGAAGTTGTAGACTTCTGGGCTGGGGTCCCCGGGACGGTAAAAACCAATGTTTGGAAACTATTGGTGACATGGCTCAAAGTCGTTCTCAATGGCTAGCTCAGATGCATCCACTCCCTATGACTTATGATTTCCAATGAAACTGTTTTATTCTTCATTACTACTATTCCTTTGTCTCACACCTCTGTTTACTGTCTCTATTATGCATTTCTTCTACTTTCTTCTCTCGGTTTGTGTGCTACATGGAGTGTGGCGACTCGAACTGTCGCACATATGTGCAAAGTTCTATATCGAAAACAGACAGAGACAGACAAAACAAAGTGTACGAATTCGGTTGCAGCCGGTAACTTCAATAGTTTAGTCTCTAGGCAGTATCATCAGAAGTTCGTGAATTAATTTTCGCTATCAATTTATTAGAGAAGCGCATTAGTATATGTTATGCATCATTTCCTTCCTCGCATGCATTACGAAAATCACAAAAAGCACAACCAAGCAAAGTTCAAAAAAGTCCTATGATAATAAAACATTCTTTTTCTGAATATGAAGTCAATTTATAACATTAACAATAATAATGGTCTAGAGCTTCAAATGCTACATCGACAAAAGAATGGACGAATCGATATATTACCAGGTGAAAACCAATAACTATTTAGATTACTGATTTTTCCGCAAGATTCACTTTTGGAAGCTTACACCGAGAACATCAAGAAATCTTGTAATACTTCCCAATGAAATTAATTGGAAAAAAGAGAGAAAGTGTGGGCGGACGATAATAGGATTCTAGATTTATACTTTATTGCCGTAATTGGCAGTCATCTATTACTCTAGCTTTAAAAAGGAAGTTATATCCCAGCCAAATAAATAGGTACAACGATTAGTTCTACCCTACAATTATTTATAACTGTTGGCAATAAATCGCGTGTACCTTTCTCTTCGCTTTCAGTATTATTCGCTTGAATAATTGATCATGAAAGTCTAAATAGTCTCACTGACATTCATTTACAAATACCGCTAATGCGATTATCCTTCCATTATCTGTGGATTGTACGTTAGTGGCACAGCGGCAGAATGCTCGCCACCGCGCTTGTGGTCTGGGGTTCGACGTACTCCTTTACTTCGCTAAGCTAGCAATAAGACTAGTAAAGAGTGAAGGTTGGACTCTGTCTGTTTTCGATATAGAACTTTGCACATATGTGCGACAGTTCGAGTCGCCACACTCCATGTAGCACACAAACCGAGAGAAGAAAGTAGAAGAAATGCATAATAGAGACAGTAAACAGAGGTGTGAGACAAAGGAATAGTAGTAATGAAGAATAAAACAGTTTCATTGGAAATCATAAGTCATAGGGAGTGGATGCATCTGAGCTAGCCATTGAGAACGACTTTGAGCCATGTCACCAATAGTTTCCAAACATTGGTTTTTACCGTCCCGGGGACCCCAGCCCAGAAGTCTACAACTTCCTACGTGGCTTACACTAACCGTTGTGGATTTCATTGACTGGTGCCATGTTTTTGTTTGACCTTCGCTAGCTCTTTTCCAGCCTGACTCTATATCAGTTAACATTGCTCATCGAGGAAGGCGATGACTAGGCATACGTAGCACATGTCCTAACCATCTCAGTCGATGTAACTTCACGGCCTCGTCGATTGATTTCCCCTGCTTACCTAGAACTAGACGCCTAATCTCAATACTTCTCATTTTATTATACCACTTCACACGGGAGATAGAGCGCAGGCACCTATGATCAAAGACAGCTAACCAGCCTTTTCATGTCTTCCACTCTCAATGGCCATGTCTCACTCACAGCCACAAAGGGGGACGGAGTGGACTGCTGAGCAGTACACACGCCTTTTGGTGGATAGCCGGATATCACGTCTACTCCAGAGACGGCGTAAAGTGGCATATGCGAAACTAGCTCTCTGTATCCGTGCTGAGATTTCGTCAGCTATCAACCTGCTAGCTTTGGCTGATGATACTTCCCAAATAAGTGAAGCGGTCAACGTGCTCTACCACTTCACTCCCTCTTTCTAAGCTAGGCGTTGTCAGTGTAGTCCAGTCCTGTAACATTATCTTGTATTTGACGGGAGCGAATCGCATGCCAAACATTCGTAGATTACAGCTCAAGGTGTTTAGAAGATTCTGCATTTTGTCAGCGTCCTCGCCTAGAAGCACTATATCGTTTGCATATTTCTAAGTCAACGAGATTATTCCCTGTTAGCAAGTCAATCCCTGAGTCGCTGAAGTGAGTTAGGGTTAAGTCCATTAGTACGTCTATAATGAAGTTGAATAGAAATGTGGATAATGGGCATCCTTGACGGGCAACACTAGTCGTCACCACTTCAGATGACAACTCGCCGTAAGCCCTCACCTGACTGCATCAGTACGAGTAGAGTGCCTTAATCAGTCCAATGTATTTTCTCGGGATTCCCTTTTCAGCCAAGCGTCGTCATTGTACCTCTCGGTCAACACAATCGAATTCTGCCTTTAGGTCAAGAAATACAATGTTTTTTGGACGCCGGTAAGAATGCCTATGTTCTAGAATCTGTCGGAGAGTAAAGATATGATCAGTACACCCTCTTCCTGGTCTAGACTCTGCCGCCTGGTTCTCTCGTGTTTGTGTCTCCAGAGTACCACTTAGTCTACGCAATATTATTGAGCCTAGACTTAAGATACTATATTAGTCAAGCTAATCCCTCTGTGGTTATCACAGGAACACTTGTCTCCCTTCTTGTATATGGGGATAATCAGTGACTTACACCAACCCGATGGGACTTCTTCTGATTCCCAGACGCTACCTAGAACCTCAGTTAATGCAGACAGTAAACTGTCTCCACCGTACTTAAATACATCTGGAGTGATTCCACCAGGTCCCACTTCTTTGCCTTGTTTCAGATTGTTGACAGCTTTAGTAACCTCATTTTTGGAAGGAGGACCTGTGTCTATATCCCATTCAGGGAGGGGTTGGATGTTCGGCAGGTTAAGCGTGGCTGTAGGTCAATTAAACTACTCCTCATAATGCTCTTTCCAGCGTTCCAGTCGTCTATCCTGGGAGCTAATTATGGTGTCATTTTTCTCCGAGATTGTTTCACTTATCATTTGCCTTTTGCCACCTGTTTCCCTGATAAGCCTAAATAGTTGCCTGGTGTTGCCAATCGCTGATGCCTTTTCCATCTCTTTCGCATTTGTCGCCCACTACTGTTCACGGTCGTTGCGAAGACTTTTTGTAAGTTTTCGTTTGAGTACCTTTCGCTCCTCATCATAATCGCAGCTCGCTGGAATCAGTCTTCCTGCATCAATCAGTTCGGATGCGGCGGTAGAGATCCAATGGCTTTTACTAACTTTTGGTTTTAGCTTATTAACAGCTTTCACAGCTCTGTCTACAGCTAACTGTATGTTGTGCCAGGCTACCTCAGGGGAAGTCGTGCTGTCGACCTCAGAAACTCGTTTCGCAATTTCTTCCTTAAATAAGGACTCAGTGTCTCAATCTAGTTGAGGACGTAACTGTTTCGCTTCCGTCAATTTCTTATGTCCATTTAGTCATAAGCATAAACGTGCGCGAAGCAAAGCGTGATTGGAGTCTACGCACGTGTTCCAGAAGGAGCGATAGTCTTCTACTGACCCTCGCCAACGATACCCTATGGCTATGTGGTCTATTTGTATCTAGCGTTGGTTTGGTGATGGGGGTCTCCAGGTCAAACAGTGTCTCTCCTTGTGTTTGAAGTTAATGCTTACAAGAAACAGATGATTATCTGAACAGAACTGTAGGAGACGGTCACCGTTGTCGGTTCGCTGGCACGGAACTCCATAGGTGCGACCGACATCCTTCTCAGATTGACACAATTTCCCTACTTGAGCATTAAAGTCACCAGCTAGAACGATTATATCTTAGCGTTTAGCCTTTCGCAGCAAGCTAGATAGCTTTTGGTAGAACTCATCCTTCGTTTCATCTGAACTGCAGTCAGTGGGGGCGTAGGCGGAGATTACGAAAAGGCATCGGCGAATAGTGCAGTCCTTCTTCCTTTTTACTGATCGGTTCGGACAGACAGCACACATTCGGCTATCTACCGGGATCCAGTCAAGTAATGTCTTTTCTGCCTTAGTACACAAAGCTATCCCTACACCAGCTAATCCTCGTGAACTAGCTGTGGCATCTGACATCCTCAAGGTGAATTTTGCAGATTCATCCTGTTGACCAGGTGGGGTTAGGTGAATAACCACACGTGGGTCTTGTATGCGCGTTTCTGAAACACAACATACATCAATGGCTCGGGATGCCAGAGTCTTGGCTAGTGATGCTTGTTGTTCTATTTGGCAAAGTATCCTAACATTAAATCCTCCTATATGAAATTGGTGGCGTGGCTTTAGGAGACTGTCGGTGGTGGTTTTTTGGCTTCCGTCGTTTTTAGTGGACACAGAGTGGAGAGGAAGTGAAGAGCTACCAAGTAGAGGAGTTGCATCAGTGTAAGGAAGGCAAGATGATAGAGATGAAGATGAAGAAAAAGATGAGTGAGTAATAGAGAGGTTTCGTGTGCATTTCGGATTGTGAGGGCGATTGTTACTTCCCGGCTGCCCACACCATGGAAGTTGGTTGCGTGACCGCAGAGTCCAGGGACAACTGCTTGAGGTCGGTCACACGCGGCCTGATTTTGTTTGTTCTTTATTGTTTGGTGTGTCTCAATAGCATGTTTATCACTTCTGTCTTGTGACACGGCAGCAGGAAGCGCGGTCGTTGTTAATCCGGGCCCCGACCAATCCGGCATGATATTTTGTGAGTTTGTTTGTATCATAGTATTGGATTAGGTAACTGCTTTTTGTCTAACCGCTATCCAAACAACCTGTCTGGCATGGTAGGACCTCAAGAGACATAAGTCTCAGCCAGTATAGCTTGTTGGGACATTACGATGTTCAAGCCCGGCCACCACGTCAAGGTAGCAACTTTCGGTCGGTTTTGGTCAAGTTAATTGACTTGCGTCTTCGAATTAGAAGCGTAAACGCCATTTCTTCAAAATAAAAAAAGCAAATAAATGTTATTTCCCGACGTAATAAATCGTTAAGTTTATTTTGTTAAACACATTCGATAGTATGAATATTTCGAAGTGTTCGTTTGTATAGAGAAAAGGATTTTTTAAATAAAGGCGTATTATACTAAAGGGCATTGTTAATACCGTATACCACATCTCTGTTATTTGTAGATATTGCATCCTAATCAACTATCACAACTAATGTCTGATATTACTAAAGAAGTTGAACAAATAATCCAAATTGCCCCAACATATCTAAGGTTGTTACTAGCTCATTTCAAGTGGGATAAAGATGCGCTGATGGAATTTTATTTTGAACATGGGAAGGCCCATACATTTTCTCAAGCCTCAATTATAGATCCTATGGATATTCCGGGTAAGTTGTAATGATTGTTTAAGATATACTCTTTAAATTTGTCTGTATTTTGAAAGAAGCTTTATTCATATATGCAAGTTTTATTTAACATTACCTTTACATTCACTTATTTGAACACATTGGCTGTTAATAGAATGCTTTAATAACTTTATCCATATCTTATAAAATGTACATATTTTTAACAGAATCTTATTGTGAATTCAAGCATACTTTTTCTCTCGTGAGCAATATGTGTGTAGCCACTAATTATAATTCTGTTATTCTGAGTGAAACAGCGCTTCAACAGCATATTTCCACTTCATTCTCTCCTCTGAAATCCTTTTGTTTCTTCCTCACATGATCTCTTTCATATCACCATCAGTTGTTTAAACCGTTGTTTCACATTTGGCCTCCATTGGAGAGCCTGGCGTGTGACGTCACTCAGTGGTCTGCTTGGCGTATGCCCGTCCCACCTCTATTTCCTTTCGCATATTTGTTAAACAATAGGTTCTTTGTCGGCTTGTTGGTAGTTTCTTATTGCTATTCTTTTCTGTAGGCTAAACTTAATGTTTATAGTTTACTGTAATACATGATTGCCAGAATGTAGTACTTGAGGCCATTAGTTCTTTTAATCCTGAGGACTCCAACCAGGAAGCCTACACTTTACCTATGTGGTTCAAGCTGACTTTCGAAGATTTTATGGACTAATTCCAAGTTTTGCATAGCACATACCCTAACCATCTTAATGGGTGTTGTGGTGAGAGCAGGCTAGCCAAAAATGGTAGACAGCATTTTACGTCAGTGGACTGATTCAACAGCCAGTCATAGCAGACTTGGCGTATAGATTATCTGACATTCAAGAAACAGTCACAAAGAGATGCAAAGTCAGCTTTCTGTAAGAAACAACCAATTAGAAGACTTTGTCTGCTTGAATAAGCTATAATAATGTACATGAAATGTATATAAATGCGTGTTGATTTCCTTAATAAAGGATTTGTTCCCTGACTCTTGTCTTTTGTCGTTACAATTGGTGTCGCTGCCTCAGAAAAATGAAGATCCCATGGCCAACCGCATTTGAAGAAGGAGACATACGGAGCTTCTTACGTGACTTCGAGGCCGTCACTGAGCTGGTAGGTGTCAAGGAGCAGGCGGCGAAGGCGGTTGTCCTGGGGACGCTGTTGAGAGGCCGAGCGAAGGTGGCATATGACAGCGTAGACAGGTCAAATGGCACAGCGTCTTGGAAGAAATTGGTTGAACGATTGGTGTCGGAGTTTGACAGCGCAACAGACAGACAGCTAGCAATGCAGCAGTTCCGTTCAATGAAGCTGGGACCTGATGGAGACCCGTTAGTGTTGGCGGTGAAACTGACTAATCTACTTCGACGCGCGCTTCCCACTTTAGATGAAGAATCAGAAGCGCAGTTACTGTCTTCCCAATTCATCGAGAGTGTCCCAGACCACATTTCTCAGCGATTACAACTGGTTAACGCAACGCAGCCGATGGATATTAGTGAGCTGGCGAAGGTGACCAGACAGCTGCTGAGCACAACGGTAGCCGCTATAGACCAACCAAAACCAAACGAATATGAGCAGAAAATTGAAGCATTGCAGCGGGAAGTGGCGGCGTTAAAGTTGGCTGATAGAAAAGACCGGTGTTTTGAATGCGGTAAGCCGGGACACTGGAGAAGATACTGCCCAGAAAGGCGAAAAAGAAAAAATTTCAGACGGTATAATGCTTGTTCTTTCTTTCGTATGAACCTAGATTTAGTGGGGGCTATTGAGAAAGGGCTCTGTATTCGAAGTTGCGAGTGAATGATCGAGAAGTAGTATGTTTGATAGATACAGGGGCGGCCGTGTCGTTAATAGATAAGAATTTATGTAAGAGTGTTAGTCCGTGTTCATTGACAGTACAAACAGTAGGCGGGTATGTGTTGCGTATCACGGGTAGATCGAACTGTACGGTCGTTGTTGGTGGCTGCGAGGTGACGTTTCCTTTCATTGTTGTACCCGAACTACAGCGAACGATATTAGGAGCGGATTTTCTGCGTGAGATTGGTGCATAATCGACACGCAAGCGAACGTGGTGATCACGAAATACGGGCATATCAACATGTATGAGACCAGCGAGATAGCAGCGATTAAGCTGTCGACGGTACACAATGTGACAGAGTTAATTAATAAATACGATCATCTGTTCACTGGAGATGGCGACCCATACGGTTATTGCGATAAGGTGAATCATGAAATTCCGTTAAGTGATCCGAAAGTAAGGTCATTTACGACGCGAAGAGTTCCATGTCATCTGGAAGGCGAAGTGGAGCGACAAGTGCAAGAGATGTTAAAAGATGATATTATTGAGGAAGCTGATAGCCCGTACAACTCTCCAGTGCTGTTAGTAAAAAAAGCGAATGGGAAGTATAGATTCTGTGTTGATTTTCGACAGTTAAACAGTATGACAGAGTTAAGACCGTGTGCCATGCCAACAGTGGTAGAAACTTTAGATCGCCTACAAGGTGCGAATGTGTTTTCGGTTCTCGATCTTCGCTCAGGATACTGGCAGATACCGATAAAACAAGGTGATAGAGATAAGACGGCTTTCATCGTGGGTCAGACACAATATCGATTTAAACGCATGCCGTTTGGACTAGCAGGTGCACCGTTTACGTTCAGACGACTGATGAAGCTATTACTTAGGAACTTGAAAAACGTGGAGGTTTATGGTGATGATCTCGTCATATACAGTCAAAACGAAAACGATCACGTCAACCATGTAGAAGCCGTGCTGCGACGCATCGAAGAGTTTGGACTACGCGTCAACAAAACCAAGTCTCAGATAGCCAAAAAGAATGTTACTCTGTTGGGACATAAAGTGGGAAATGGTGAGATTAAACCACTGCCGGAGAAAATTTTGACGATTAAAACGATTCCAGCCCCGAATTCAAAGAGAAAACTGAGACAATTCTTGGGTAGAGCAGCGTTTTATAGTCGCTTCGTGAAGAACTTCAATGAGATAGCAGCCCCTCTATACAGGCTACTAGGTGAGCCAAAGTTTGTTTGGTCGGAAGAATCGCAGAGGACATTCGACAGAATTAAACAGCTGCTCGACCACCAACAAATGACGCTAAAACTACCTGTGCCAGGAAGACAGTTCACAGTGTGCACAGATGCCAGTGACTACGCTATAGGTGCGGTCCTAAGACAGGACGAGGGAATCGTTGAGTATGCCAGTAGGGTTTTGACCCACAGAGAAAGTATTCAACGATAGAGAAAGAATGTTTAGCAATGGTATGGGCAGTCGACAAATGGAGACCTTATTTACTCGGCCGGCGGTTCCACATCGAAACTGATCATAAGCCGCTACAATTTTTGAAGACAGCGAGAGACCCACGGGGGAAGTTGTCACGGTGGATGTTGCGTCTTCAGGAGTACGATTTTACGATCTCACACGTTCCTGGAAGTGAAAATGTCTTGGCAGATTTGTTATCGAGACCAGAAGATGAGTCTGAGTTGCCCGAGGTCGCTTACGGAGTGCATGCAGTAGAACAAGACCCACTAAGACTTGCACGTAGGCAGAGGTTGGACGATACGCTGAATACAGTAATACAGGTGATCACCAACGGAATAGAAGTGGATCAAACTACGGCGAGTAAGGAGCTAACCACACTACTCAGACAGAGGGATCGACTCAGAGTGAATGCCTACGGGACTCTGACCTGGCGAGAGAACGACGGAAGCTGGCTGGCTGTCATACCTCAATCGTCGCGCCACGACATGATAGAAGAATGTCACCAGCTAGCGCATACAGGCGTGGCCAGAACGACCGACCTCCTAAGACAAAGTATGTACTGGCCAGGTATGAGAGAAGACGTAGCAAGATACGTACTTGGATGTCCACGGTGCCAGCTGATGAAAGGTGACCGGTGTATACGACCACCACTTCAGTCGATTCCAGTTACCGCGATAGGTGACTTGTGGTCCGTAGATGTCATGGGTCCATTTCCTCAGACATCCAATGGTAATCAGTACCTCTTGGTGATGACGGAACACGCGACACGATGGGTAGACGCCGTAGCAATCCCAGACCAACGTGCAAGAACCGTGACAGATGCAGTAGTTAGACACATTGTTGCAGACCACGGCGTACCGAAGACAATACTGACAGACCAAGGTCCCTGTTTCGAGAGTGAAGAGTTTACTTCCCGTTTGCAACAGCTGGGCATCAAGAGGATCAGAACGACCCCATACCATCCACAAACGAATGGCCTAACGGAGAGAAACAACCGTACACTGAAGGAGTGGCTGGCCTCGAAGGGCGGGAACTGGGAAACGGAGCTTCCACTGATTTTACTAACACATCGTGCTACCACTCAGGAAACAACGAAGAAGTCACCCTTCCAACTGATGTATGGTAGAAAACCACGATTACCGGTACACAATGAGACCTGGCCCATGCACCAAAAGTGGAGTACGACGAAATTAAAAGCAGAGAGGAAAGAGGCAGTCAAGAATGTAATACGGAAGCAGCGCAGTGATGTTGCGAAGTCTCAGATGAAAGAAAGGACGCAGTGCATTACCTTTGCAGTCGGGGACCAAGTGAAGTGTAGAGACAGGAGATATACAGTTGGAGGCGGGCTAGGTTCACGGAAACTCCTTCCAAAGTGGGAAGGACCATACACAATCACAAAAAGACGGGGTCAAGTATATACCATCCGAAGAGGTGATAAACAGAAACGAGTTAACGCCAGTCAGCTCCAAAGATGGGTACAGTGGGACAAGCCGGTCAGTAACAATCCTCAACTAGAGGATGTAGCACCCAGAAGGTCGGAACGTCTGCGCACGAAGCTATTTGACGGGGGGACGAGTGTGGTGAGAGCAGGCTAGCCAAAAATGGTAGACAGCATTTTACGTCAGTGGACTGATTCAACAGCCAGTCATAGCAGACTTGGCGTATAGATTATCTGACATTCAAGAAACAGTCACAAAGAGATGCAAAGTCAGCTTTCTGTAAGAAACAACCAATTA